ATTTTTCAATTTCCTGTCGGGCACGGGCTTGGGCTTGCAAAAGGGGAAGATTAGCAATTTCCTGAATGTTTTTAGGCGGGTTATTATCGGACTTCCCATCTTGATCGGAGTTGCTATCGGAACTATTATCGGAATTAGACCCCGAGTGGTCGTCCAAATCACTATCGTTTGTTTCATTTCCCTCCTCTTCCCCATTCTCGCTTGTTGGACCATTAGTCTGCTGTGTTTCGCTATTATTCTCTGGCTTTTCTGGGTTTTTATTGCCTCATTCAGTGCGGCATTTTGGTGAGCAAAATTTTTCCTCCTTGCCGGTAAAAGAATAAATGGTATAGAAGCCTTTCTCATCAAGGCGAAATTTTTCTCCACACTGGTCGCAATTTGGTAAACTATCGGTGTCAAACTTGCCCGGATTTTTTTCTAGTTTTTGTCGGCAATTAGAAGAACAAAAAACTTTTCCCTTAGTCATTCCTCAACCTTTTTCCTTTCAAATTCCTTGACGAAGTTCATTTTCTTTCAGCCTTTCTATCTTGCCACAATTATCACAAACATTAAAACAGTCATAACATTTTTTCGAACAAAATCAAAAACCCTCGCCTTTAAATTTTTCAAATCGAGTGGCAAAGTCGTAATTTTTCCCACAACGGCTACACTCTTCTTCCGGTGGTGGCTGCTGTCCTCCGCCGCCCCCTGGATTTTGACTACCCTTACCGGCATTCCCGGTTAAAAAAGTGTAGGCCTCGTCGATTAGTTTGCGATTGCTTATTACTTTCTCAAAAATCTCCTTGCACTTTTTTGAATGAAACCACTTTTCTCCTCCATCCCTGGGAACCACGCCACATTTTCCATCAGAACACGGATATCCTCTTTCTGTGGCTCGGACTTTCCACTTGTCTTCAGCCCATTTTTTTATTAGATTATTATAAGCCTTTTTAATTTCGGATTGATTAGTCCCAGAACTAACTCCTAAAATTTTACATGTTTGCGAGTAGTTTGTTACTAATGCTGCCATAATGAATATTTATTAATTTTGTAATTTACTGATTGATTTCATTCGGCCGCTACTCTTCTTGGAGCTTGATATCTAACTGTTTTTTTTTTTTTTTTTGTGATTAATGTCATGATATGGGACATGTTCCAACAAAAGGATACAAAGAAATAAAAGTATATATCAAAGATATATAAAATTGGCACTTTTGCCCTTTTTAATAAAAAACGACCCATATGTTTATTTTATTCTTTTGCGAGCAAAAATAATAGCGATAAGCAAGCAAAGTGCTACGGAAATGAAGCCCATCGTTCAGGCAAAAGGATAATCGTTTGGTTTATATCACCTTTTTTCAGTTTCAGTTGAGGTGGGGTTTGATTTCTTGGGAGAATTATCAATAACCAGAAAGTCAGAATTTTTTAAGGCTGTTTCAATTTCGGTTCATTCTTGCTGGCTTTTTTCCCCACCAAACCCAATAATTCCTTCTTGTCAGTGTTTCCGTCCGGAACGGTTAATGACTACTGTTGTTTTGCCTTCTTTAACGACTTTTCAATCATTTTTATTCTCTTTTATTTCGTTAATTAATGCTGTTCTTATTTCCTGAAAACCGTCTCCTCCTTGGAATTGATTGAGGTCAATTTCTTCATTTTCCACTTTTATTTTTCCCACCTCTCCTCACTCGGGTTCGGTTTGCCAATTAGGATTGCAAGCCTCAGCGTGACGATAATAATAAATGCTGCTGTCTCGATAACTACGATTTTTTAGCAGTTCAGCATTCGTCAAATCGCCCATAGGGTCTAAACATATTTTATCCAAATTACGAAGAATTTTTTCTTTTTGTGAGATTGTCATAATATTGTATTAATAAGTTTTTTCTAAAGTGCGGGTCAAGCAAAGTAATAAAAATAAATATATTTGTCTGCAGACAAAGCAGATTAATTTATTTTATTAGAAAAAAAGTATTCCAGTATGGCTAAAAAAAAGAACGAGTTATCCCATTATCCCTCTTTTTTCTCCTCCCGATTATTATTCAGAACCATTTCTTGAATAGTTTTTGCTATTTTTTTTATTATTTTAGGAAAAAAATATTTGCAAACCGATATTTTAGGAAAGGTTCATCATTTTCTCTGGGGAAACGAAAGAAGTTTTAATCAATATTTTTTAGGTACTGATAAGACGGCAGAAAAGTCTAAAATCCTTAACTATGCTATTTTTTTCTTGGTGGCAATAATTGTTTTAAATGTTCTGGTTCTCGCAATCAACCGATACTTATGAAAAAAAGATAAGTACATTGAAAATAATAATTTTTACCTCCATAATAAGTTCATATTTATTATTAATAGTCTGGTTCACATTGCTAGTGCTTGTTTGTTAACGGCCTCTTTTGTTAGTGCCACTACTGTCATTTTGGCTTTGCTGTTTATTACCTATAATAGTTGAGAACCATTTCCCCGAACAAAGCACTCTAAAATTCCCCACCTAGAAAAATTTTTTTCTTGGCAAAATCGGTATGTCCGAAAGATATTAATTTATTCAACCATTATTATTTTTGTGGTTCCCTTTATTATCGGTCGCATACAAACATTTCATACCAATGCCCTCACAGGCTCGCCGGAAGGATTTTCTAAACTTTATCAAGACTTAATTAATAGTTCATCAACCGCCAAAATTATTATGGGATTAATAACCCAAACCAATTTCAGTATTTTCCACTGATTCGTTTTGTTGTGGTTCGTCAAAGGTACAATTGGCAATCGCTGAAAAGATTTTACTGATTTCTGAGCCCAAGTGAATGGTATTACTCCACGAGTAACTGATTTTAAACATTATTACTACTACCAAGAAAGTTGAGCCCAGGCCAATAATAAGCATATTAATTTGGGAGATTACAGTTATTTAGAGAACAGTCCTAATTTTCTAAAAAATGAATGTTTAGAAAGTGATCTAGAAATTGACGATTTTGCTCGTCAGAATCAAAAAGTTGTCAAGTATATTGAGTTTTGTGAAAAGAAAATAAAAGAACCCGCAAAAAGGAATTTTCTTAATTATTGCTTGTTTAATGAATTCGGCTCTTGAGACGATTGTTTACGAACTAAAAGATTAATTGAGGCGGCTCGGAAATAGTAATATTGTTAATAATTAAACTAGATTTACAATTTTTTAATAAGATCTCCCTAAATAAACCCTGTTCTGGGCTGCCGACTGGCAAAAAAGACATTTATGCGATGTATCCACTTTTTTCTCTCCCGCAATACAACGGATACTATACGAAGGCACCTTTTCTTTAATTTTCAATTCGCAATCTAAATTATTACAAAAAGGGACCAAAAATAAGCCCTTGCTCCCGCCTTTTATTTTTTTCTCTAATTCGGTCAAACTGGCAACCGAAAAAATGTGTTTATCACGAAACTCCGCACTTTTTTGATAGAGATTTTTTTGTAATTCTACTGTTTCTTTACCGATAGTCCCAAAAATTTTTCCGGCTCTCTGACCTTGTCTAAATGAATTAGTCATTTTTGTTTTTTCCTTTATTAGCACTTCTTTGTTTTTTTGGTCAATCCCGCTTATTTCCTCCCAGTATTTTTCAGCGGCCGTAATGTATTTTTTTTCTGTTTCATTTTCCTCTAATTTAATGGTGATTTTTCTTTCCACATTATCCCTCCTTATCAGAGTAATTTCTTGGTGCTCTAATTCGTGTTTGCCGATAATCATCTTGAAAGGACAGCCCTCTTGGTCGGCTTGGATCACATTTGCATTAACTTGCTCATTTTTATTATACAACTGACAACGATAATGACGGCTTAATAAACCATAAATCTCTTGATAGTAATTAATTAATTCTGAGCTTTCCCCGATAAGAATAAATGCAATTTGAACGGGGGCAATCTCAAAAGGCAAAATTAAACCTCAATTATCCGCATGAGTTTTAACTAGAGCACCAATAACTCGAGTAGAAGTGCCCCAAGAAGTAGAAAAAGGATGCTCCATTTTGTTGTCTTTGTTTTGAAACTTGACTTCCATTAAACGACAAAAATTATCCCCAAAATAATGACTAGTGGCTAATTGTAAGCATTGACCGTCTGGCAGTAGGCATTCCACTGTATAGGTTTCCAAAGCACCAGCGAATTTTTCCCCGGCCGATTTTTGCCCGATTATTACTCCTAAACAAAGTATGTTTTCGGCGTA